GAGGATTGAGAAAGAAAAGAGTATTGAGAAAAGACAGCACACTCAATAGTGTGGAGACAAGAAGTCTAATTTATTTCACAGAAACAGCTCTTTTTAAAGGCACACCAACAGGAAGCACCAAGCAACTACTTGTATGCAAAGACTGGATTTTCTGACTCTTACAGAGAACATCAGATCTTTGGCTATCTCTTCGAGTTCCTCCTATCACAGGGTCAAAGAACAAACATTTAATAAAGTCCTTGAGCCAGGCATGGTGGTGCACGCCTGTAATTCCAGCACTCAGGAGGTGGAGGTAGGAGGACTGTGAGTTCAAGACCCTCCTGGATTAGACAGCTCCAGGTCAGTCTCATCTACATAGCTGAGACCCTGTCTCAGAAAAACCAAATAAACAGACAGAGTCCTTGAAAAGGAACAAATGTTACATAGATTGTATCAATGCCTTAATGGTAGAAGAAGAAGTTATTTTTCCAATGTCAAAAGCCAGTGGGCCATGGCCGGCCCCCACAATGACTCCTGATCTATATTCAAATATTTTGTATATAAATCTTTTTTGGTAGTATTGGGGATTGAACCCAGAACATGCTAGTCAGGTGCTCTACCACTGAACTATGTACGCACTGGCCCTTTTATTTGTTAGAATCAGAATCTAAACCTTGGCTCCTTCCTTTGCACCCTTCCACTGTGCCATTTTTAGCTTGGAGCCAACTAACCATGGACTGAATCCTCTGAAAAACATGCGCCAAAATAAATAAACTTCTTTATATTGTGGGTACTGAGTATTTTGACAGGGTCTTGAGTGTAGTTCAGGTGGGCTGTGAATTCACTATGTGGTCTAGGTTGGCCTTGAATTTAAGATCCTCCTACCTTAGCCTCCTGAGTGCTGTAATTGAAGTATGTGCCACCTTTTTTTTTTAATGTGGTACTGGGGGTCAAACCCAGGGCTATATCCCTGGCTCCTGATGGTTTTTCTTTTTCAGTCCTGTGGGTTCTACCGCCTGCCCTCTGCCCACCTTCCTGTCACTACCATGGTCCATGGCTCTGCTTCCTTTTTAGTCATCCAGGAAAAGGTCAGCTAGACAAATATTTAAACACATATATCTGATCCTATCATGGGCTGGAGATTTATCTCAGAGGTGCCAGTGCCTGCCTGGCAAGTGCAAGGTTCTAAGTTTGATCCCTAGTTCCAAAAAACAAAAACGAGAAACATCTGATCCTGTCACTCTTTTCATTGAAGTTGTTATCCGTGTTATTGGCATCCAGTCCGGGCCCTTGTACCTGGGCTTGAGGGCCCACTCCCTCCATCGCTGCCCATTGCCTCTGCTCCAGAGCTGCCCTGTCTTTCCACGTCATGGTCCTGTGACGACTCCTCACAGTCCTGCCCTCACTCTGGTGGTCACGACACACAGGGTTTTCTCCATTTGTGGCACCGCCCACCAAAGCTGACTCTCCTCATCCTGGGGCATCACTTAGGTCAGTGCTTCTCAACACTGGCTACGCACTGCTGTAAGAAATATCAATGCCCAGTTGCCACCCAAAGCCGATTAAAACTTGCATGTCTGGAGGTGAGTGAGACCTGAATGCTACTTTTAAAAGCTTGTACAGGCCTGGGGATGTAGCTCAGCAGCACAGCACCTGCCTGGCAAGTGTGAGGCCCTGAGTTCAATTCCTAGTATCAAAAATAAAAAATAAAAAAATAAAAGCTTTTACAGGTCAGTTGCTGTGGTGCATACCTGTAATCCTAGCTACTGAGGAGGTCGAGGCAAGATAATCCCAAATTCGAGGCAACTTAGTGAGGTCCTGTCTGTTGCAAGCAGGAGTGTGCACTAACTGGAGGTCGAGACAGTAGTAGTTGCCAACTAGATTTTTACGTATTTTATATATGTCACAGCAAACATGTTAATTCATACCCACAAGTTGCCACTCCCTGTACCTGCACAAGTCAAGGAGCGCGACTTTGTTTCTCCTTTCCTGATGATTGAACTGTTCGATCCGGTTGCCTCCTCCTCAATCCGGGGGTCCACTCCAGGCAGGTGTCCGATGTCTCAACCGAGGTCTCCTCCGAGATCTCGTCTGGTAGGTTGCCATAGAGCTGGACCGGTCACTGAGTGGGACAAGCTGGTCTTCTGCACTCTCTCTTTTATTCCGTTCTAACTGGGGGTCTGTGGCACTGGCTCAGGTTTTATCACTTCACACATATTGGGGCTGTTTGAGTAGATATTGGGGCTGCACCCATCATAGGGTTCCACACATTGAATTTGGATAACAGGGCTACACGTGCCATAGGGTGATCTTTTGGGTTAGCTATCACTCTTACTCTTGGGGGATTACATAGCAGGTTTCCCACATTAAGTCATTAGGTGGGTTTCACTCTCCACTCTTGGGAACACCCTGACACTGTACTCTGTTTGGGAGGCATTATGTTCTCTGCATCCTATACATTGACATGTACACTCTACACTGTCCCAAAATAAAAATGTGATGGGGAGCTGGGGATTTAGCTCAGTGGTTCCGCCGCCTGCCTCGCAAGCACAAGGACTGGAGTTTGATCCCTGGTACCAAAAAAAAAAAAAAAAAAAAAAAAACGTGCTGGGAATGTAGCTCAGTGGTAAAGCAAATGTACAAGGTCCTGTGTTCGGTTCTTAGTACCACAGGAACAAACAGAAAACGCCAGCCTGGTATGGTAACCTGTGTTTATAATCCCAGCACTTTGGGAGGTGGGCACCTTTGGTGGAGGGATCGCAAGTTCGACCCCGGTCTGGGCAATGTAGTGATTTAGCGAGATCTGTCTCAAAATAAGAAAACGAAAGGGCTGGGGCTGTAGTTCAGTGTGAAGGCCCTGGTCTCAGCTCCCTGGCCACAAACAAACAAACGGCTAGTTCAGGTGTTTCTGAGATGTGGCTGAGGTTGAGAGCCACAGTTGGGGTGTTTGTTCCTTCCTCTGGGAAACTTGCCCTCACCCCGACTCCTGCATGCCATGCCATTTGTTTCTGCTGGGGCATCAGCTCTAATTCCTGTCCTTACCACCTGGACCTCACGGTGCCCCCTCTTAGGTCTCTGCTGTGCTAGAAGGAAGTGTCCTAGGAGTCGTGGCATATCTGCTTGTTACCCTCTGTAATTACTAGGCAAATAGTAGGCTCTTGGTGAGATTTGTAAGCAGATAGTAGGGAGATATTTGGACTGGACTTCAAGGTCATTTGAAGGCAAAGATGGTGCCCCACTGTCTGGGACAGAGGCCAGAGTGCATTGTCTGCCTGTCATTTCTCACCAACCTTCTCTGCCCTCTGAACTTCTTGCCCCAGATAGATGGGCTTCAAGCTGCCCTTCCCTGTCCTGGTCCCACCTGAAGTTAGTTGCTTTGTTCCCTGACTCCCATGGGGAATGGGCTACCTTTGAACTCATGGGAAACCCTATTTAACACTGTCTCGGGTACTTGTCTTGTTGCTGAGACAAAATATACCCAACACCTTCAGGTTAAAGGAGAAAAACTTAATGTAGCTCACAGTCTGTAGAGGTTTCAGGTCATAGTTGGCTGGCTCTAAGGCAGGGTGGCTTGGCAGAGGGGGATCACAGAGAAGAAACCACTCATAGAAGGCAGAAGGCAGCATGTTCGCAACAAGCAACAACCCTCTGTCTGTCTCATGTTTTATCCAGGCTACCTCCCCTAACTTGGTAGCACTCACACCCTTAAATCTAGCATTACACCACGAATCGGTCCCAGCCACATGAGGCTTTGGGGGACATCTAGATATGAGCCGTAACAAACAGTCCAGCACACACTGTGAGGATGCTTTCAAACGCATCTATTGGCACACTTAGTATAAGAAATAACTTTAGGGCTGGGGATTTAGCTTAGTGGCACCACGTCTGCCTTGCAGGTGCAACATCCTGAGTTCAATCCCCGGTACACACAAAAAAAGTGAGTTTCTTTAGGAGACTCTTTACCTTTGACTGAAAATTAAAGCCTTATTTACAAGAAGAATAGTGATATGAAATTGATACTTTTTAAACATAGATTCTTATTTGTGTGTTTTGGGTTACCTTTATTGAGGTGTAATTCACGTACAGGGAAGCTGTCCCCTCATTTGCCTCTGTGCATTCTGCTCTGAGTTGTTCAAGTACAATCCCCCAGCTGGATTTCAGGTTATATGTGATCTAGGGCTTAGACTCTCACAGCTGTTCCAGCTTTCACTTCAAGGGCAACCCCCAAAGCTACCATGGACTGTGATACTGTTGGGACTATAACTGATCTTGTGAGCTTTGGAAGCCTAAAAATTCACAGGAATTTTACCAATACTGGAGGATACTAGGTAGATGGTTTTTGTAACCCTGGTTGTGTGAGCACCTGTTGCTGCCTTTTTCCATCCACCAGAGTGCAGTGTTCTACTCTGCCTAAAAGTCAGCCCCTCTGAGATCTTCCCTTTCTAAGCCTAGCATTTTACCTCCTGAAGTGACCCCAAAGTGGTACTTCTCAAAATTTTTACTACCGGAAACACACCTTACATTATAACCCAGGGGAGATGTGTGTGCATACAAAACTCTGCACACAAGTACAGCACATACGACAAAAGTTTCATAAAGTAATACCTTGCTATGTGCAACATACTCTGATATTTTCTGTTCTTTCATTTTAAAAAGGTGCTGATTGCCATCCAGTTGAGTTCATCATGCACAAATGGAATTGTGGCCTATAATTTGAAAAATGTTGCCTAAAGTTCCCTTTGTCCTGCACCTTGGATAGTTGCAGATGGGATGTGCGTTGTGTTCCCAATCACGGTGAACAGTACACTGGGATATAGTCTCAGCCACTGCGTAGCTGGCTGGTGCTGGCTTCTGGGAGCTAAGCCTGTGGTATCTGGGGGCCTGGCTTGGCAGTAGTCTGTTTGACAGCCCAAAACCAAGCATTACCTATCATCACAGTATGTCGCCTGACACTCTCACGGGATCTGCTCCTGAAAGGGAGGAGGTGGAAGTGCTCATGGGGTCCTCTCTCTGGTCTGTAGAATGCCTCTCAGAGGATGTTTGAGATCGACTACAGCAGGGACCGCTTCCTCAAGGATGGCCAGCCGTTCCGCTACATCTCGGGAAGCATTCACTACTCCCGGGTGCCCCGCTTCTACTGGGTAGACCGGCTGCTGAAGATGAAGATGGCCGGGCTGAACGCCATCCAGACGTAAGTGGGAGGCTGGTGACTCTCCCCTGGGCCTGCACACCCACACCTGGAGGAGGCATATCTGCACTTCTCAGAGCAGCTGCTTCCTTACTCAGAAATGGGGCATAGTCAGTGTGGCCTCGTGGGAGGGCCTGTCATGAGTTTGACTGGCTTCACATCAGAAAATTAACTACTGGGCTGGGGATTTAGCTCAGTGGTTCCTGCCTCGCAAGCACAAGGACCCAAGTTCAATCCCTGCTACAAAAATAAAAATAAAAATAAAAATTCTAACAAAATTAACTACTTTTTCCAGACCTGCACTGTATCACCAGAGATCGTAAAATAAATATCAGCTTCAGAAGGCAAAAGCAACGATGATAAGGCACTTAGCAGGTGCAGGGATGCTTTACACCCATGATTCCATCTCTCTGAGGCAAGCATTCCCATGCCCATTTATAGCCCATGAAACTGAAGTTTGCCTAAGGGTGTATCTTTGGTCAGAGGCCCAGCTAGGATGTGAACATAAGGGTATCGTAGGTAGCCATAGCTTCTCTTAGCTCCTAGGGGGGCAAGCCCTAGGTAGATTTCTGAAGCTGTTTGTTATCCTGGTTCTGCTAGGGTAGTTGGACAGGCCCAGTCTGTAGAATTTCCCCCTACTTATTTCTGCCCCTCTCTCCTGCTCTTGCATGGTGACTAAGAAGGTTGGTGTGGCTGGCTACTCTGGTTTTTGCAGTGCTGATGTGGATTGCTGATAACCTTTTAAAGATAAAGAACAAAAAAATCTTTACACGATTTAGAAGATAGATGGGGAGAGTCCCGTTCATTATTCTTGTTCAGAGGTCACTGACAAAGTGAAGCCAGTGTCACCTGTTATTAATTTCCACACACAGTTGGATAGACCAAGGTTATTTGTTCCAGGGAACCCTGGAATCATGGGATTGTGGAAGAAATAAACATAAGCGAGGTCATCAAGGAAACCTGTGTGATAGGAATAGGTGACCTCATATTTAAATTTGTATCCCATGTGATGAGTAGACAGGGAGCTGGGTAAGAGCTTGGGTCGTTTTACTTCCTGCCATGCTATTCCTGACAAAATCTTTTGTGTAGGGGTTGGAGGTTTTCCTACCCACCCGCCATGCTGGTTATTGAACACGAGGGTGCTGTACCACTGAGTTGCATCCTCAGTCCCTCTTTTTTTGAGACATGATCACCCCAAATTGCCCAAGCAAGCCTGTAACTTTTGACCCTCCTGCCTCAGCCTCCTGCTGAATTAAAATTACAGTATATACCTGGCACACCTGGCAAAGTTTATTTTTCAAAAAGTAGGACTGGGGATTTCAAAAAGTAGGACACTACCACCTGCCTCGCAAACTCAAAGACCCAAGTTCAATCCTGGTAAAAAAAAAAAAAAAGTGAGTATACTTCTGGTGCTGAGGAGGTAACTCAGTGATAGAGCACTTGCCTAGCATATGAGAAGCCATGGGTTCGATCCTCAGCACCACAATGGGGAGAAAAGTATACTTCTATTTTAACAAGACATTTTCATTTTTCCTACAGGCACATATAATTTGTGTAATTCTGGTTTACTTATTGTATTTAAAATTACATTATGTTGGGCCAGGGATTTAGCTCAGTGGTTCCACTGCCTGCCTCACAAGCATAAGGACCCAAGTTTAATCCCCGGTACACAAAAAAATTACATTATGTTGAAAGTTTTTTTTGTTTGTTTTTTTGTTTTTTTTGTCTTTCTGTCAGTTTCTGTAAAGCTTGTTTTAATAAGGAGGCTGGAGGTGTAGCTTAGTGGTAGAGTCTGTGCTTAGCATGCATAAGGCCCTGGGGTGACACGTACCATGAAAAATAAATTTCAATAAATATGGGGGATACTGGGAACCAAACACAGAGCCTCATGTTTGCCAGGCAGGTGCTGTGCCACTGAGCTACATCCCCACCCCTGAATAAAGTTTCTGACTTGTATTTCTCTCTCTCTTTTGAGGTAATGGGAATTGAACCTAGGGCTTCATGCATACTAGGCAAGTGCTGTACTCCTAAGATACATCCTAACCCTTTTAAATTTTATTTTGAGCTAAGCTGTTGCTAAATTGCCAAGCTGACCTTGAACTTGCAATCATCCTGCCTCAGCCTCCT